AGGGCAAACACATGTTTAGCAATCCTTCGCTACTGATTAGCCAGGCTTTCTGTATCTACGTGAGAGCAACAAAACTGTCAGTGTGATAGTAGGTTTCTAAATTTAGCTGCCAAAAATTTGGAATTGGTGGAAATAATATACTGCAGCAATGCTACCAGAGGGATACAGTGAGAGCTCCCTCCGACTCTGATCTACCAGCAGGCTGAAAATGGATCATGTTCACCAGGGCATTGGGGATCAGAGAGGGGATAAAATCCATGAAAGAGTCTGAAAAGTATATGCAACTTGAAAAATAATATATACCCAGTAAGTCTGTATCAAGTAAGTCAGAGTCGTTTTGTCCTGTGGGCTCTAGAGAAAGTAGAATTATAGAGCCGTATGTATGAGAGAGTGAATTAAAAAATACAGCAGAATCTCTACTTCGTGTTTTATGTGTGATAACTTACAAACGTTTTATTTGTCCTTATAAGATTTCTGATGCATGAAATTGCCTAGGTAGGGTATATTTTTATGCCATACTGACAAGACCTAAAGGCAGGTGTTAGAGTCGATTTGAACACACAAGAGGATGACCTAATCTCACATTACCCAGGCTGTTGAGGCCCTTTCTAAGCACAGGAGAAGGAAGGATGCTGGGGAGCCTGGGAGGAGCAGAGAGAATACTCTTTCCAGGGAGCAGCTCCGGGTGGAACTAGCTGTCAGGGCAAGTTCATGTTCAAAACAACCAATTCCTGCTTATCTTTTTACCAACCTTACATGCATTTAGATTCAGAGGCAAAAAAAAAAAAAGGGTTTCTTTGAGAGATAAATGGACCAGAGAGGTTTCTTTTCATTAATGAGGCTCATTTATCATCGCCAGGCCCAGCCAAGCCCATCGCAGGCATCCAGAAGAGGCAAACAGGCCTTCCTGGAGCAGAATGTCTTATCTTTCCTCTCCTCCTTTTCTAACTCAGCCTCCTGTAGCTTCAACTGCAGCTGAAAGCCAATTGCTTTTCTCCTCTACAAGTAGGCTCTTTATTTTTCAGTTCAGGTCCATATCTCCCATTTGCTCCATTAGCTACAGGCATGCCCGTGTATTGAACATTGTGACCCAATGTGAAAGCTACCAGATGTGGTAGGGAACTGTTGAGATATGTGAATTCTTCAAAAGTTTATGAAAAATGTGTATTAGGAAAAATTACAGGGATTTCAAATTTTGCACCCAAGCAAACTTACCTTGTAATTCCATTTTTCATGAGCAGTTTTTAAGCCTCTGCCACAATTAGCTTATTAGTATCATCTACAACTCAGATGTTCAGTATTCCTCTTGAAATTTCATAAACAAATGAAAATGGGAAGAATTCATATTACAATTATATAACAAAATATCACTCCATCACAAAGGAGTGTAAAATAATAAGAAGCTATTTCAAAAGTGTCACTTTAAGGGAACAGCATTCTCAGAAACCACAAAATTGCCGAATTGTTTCCTGGACTGCTAAGTAGAGAAACATGCCTGTAATGCATGAGTTTAGGATTTCCAAAGAAATCCGTAATTCAGGTAAGTTGAATAATTTCCACAAAATGAGAAGCCAAATTTTAAGTGTCTTCTTCAAAATGGCTTGACTCTTTAACTTATAAAGGGGAAAATCATACAATAGGAAACTATAATGTATGTTAACTGTGGCTTTATATTTTAAAAGCTGGCCTAGTTGCATAGCATGCTAATTTTCTGCCTACAGTACTGGCTTCCCTTATGGGTACTGGTTCTAGTCCAGGCTGCTCCACCTCCAACCCAGCTTTCTGATAATGGCCTGGGAATTTACCCCAGGTCTAGGGTCCCTGCACCCATGGGGGAAACCTGGAAGAGGCTCTTGGCTCCCAGGTTTAGACCAGTCCCTGCTGTGGCCATTGTGCCCACTTGGGAAATGAATTTGAGGATACAAGATTTCTCACTGTTTCATTGTTTCTCCCTCTCTCTTTGTATTTGTTTCAAGTTAGAATAAATACTTGAGTAAACATTTTAAAAATTAAACAAGAAAGCTGACTTTTAATAGAGGGTCTCAAGTTTCCTAAACAAACCATATTTAGAGAAAAAGGAAAAGACCTTGACAGCCTGCACCTTTGTAGCCGCTCCTGAATCTAAAGGCTGACGGGGCCGGGCACAGTGCTGCGGCCACTTGGGGAGTGAATCAGCAGACAGAAGATCCTTCTCTCTGTCTCTCCTTCTCTCTGTAGATATGTCTTTTCAATAAAAAATAAATCTTTAAAAAAGAACTAATGGTTGACAAAATTTCACTATGGCAATCTTACATTTTCAGCTCACACTTTGGGGGATATATGCTCAGATCTTCTGTAATGTGGGTACTGTAAGATGCACTTCATTACCTAGTACTGAATGTTAACTATAGAATCCTCCTGTAAAGACTAGAGCATACTTTCTATTATTTCTTTGAGAACAGACTTACAACTGTGGGTGAATTAGTTACTGTTCCCTTTGTAAATGCTGAGTGGGCGGTGTGGCCACTGTTATCAGCTTCCTCACTACATGAACGGGTACACAGTGTTTTCCTAACTCATGGAACCAAAAATGGGCAAAGCCAACACTGGCTTCCCCAAAGAAGAAAAATTTTAGACGTATGAAAAGGACAGCAATATTAATTTTAAAATTCTATTTACTTAGAACCATTCAGAATGTCAACAAAACAGCTGCAAGTTTTTTATGCAATTATAGTGATATTAGTGGAAAAATGATTTCATATAAGATGCATCACAGACAACTGAAGACAAAAAGCTGCTTCATATGTCAGTTATATACAGGGTTAAATACTTTAAAGTATGTATAAGTATATATTTTGTTTTTATTAGAAAGGCAGATATGCAGAGAGAAGGATAGACAGAAAAGATCTTTCATTCGCTGGCTCACTCCCCTAATGGCCACAATGGACCAAGGTAAGCCGATCTGAAGCCAGGGGCCAGGAGATTCTTCCAGGTCTCCCATGCAAGTGCAGGGTCCCAAAGCTCTGGGCCACATTTCATTACTTTCACAGGCTGTAAATAGGAGGCTGGAACAGAAATGGAACACCCTGGCACCCATCGGAAATGTTGGCACTTGCAATTGGATAATTGGAGAATTATCCAATCTAGCTATCATGCCATCATGCCTGCACTAGAATCAACTTAGCATCTTCCTCTTCCTCCTCTTGTTTCTCTTGATGGCTTCCTATTTTGCTGCATTTGGTTTTCTTTTAGCTTGGTGTGGCAATATTCTTTTCGTGTTTTTCTTTCAGTTTTAGCAGCCTTCTTTTCAGAGGGCAGTGTATGTTACCTCTCCCAGTTTCTTTGCAGCGCCACCTATAAGTGGGCCGGGATGTTCTCCTTTGGTTTGGGAGTGATGCTTCGAGCAAGGGAAAGGCTGACGGGACCTCTTGGGTGCACTGGGATCCTTGAATGTCTGTTTTGTCTCCTGTTTAGGAGGAATCTAAGTTTTCATTTCTCTTTCACAATGAACCTTGTCAACTCCTCTTTAGCAGGCATGGTCTTCCATCGCTTTGAGCACGTCTCAGAGAATTCTGAGAAGCTACCAGAAGCATCTGTGTGCTCCCCCAGGCCAGTGTGCAGATGCATATGATGACACTTCTCTCAGCTTCCTTTGCCCACCAAGGCGGAGTCACCCAGTGGCTGGCTGGCTCTCACTTGCCCTTTCTCTATGGAACTGCATGTACTGCCTTCTGAAGCACCCTGCCGCACTGCTTGAATAACTGGTCTGACTCATCAACGCTGATAGTCCAATGCGTCACTAAGAAAAAAGTAATATCGGGCCCGGCGCGGTGGCGCAAGTGGCTAAAGGTCCTCGCCTTGCCCGCCCGGGATCCCATATGGGCGCCGGTTCTAATCCCAGCAGCCCCGCTTCCCTTCCAGCTCCCTGCCTGTGGCCTGGGAAAGCAGTCCAGGACGGCCCAAAGCTTTGGGAACCTGCACCAGCGTGGGAGACCGGGAAAAGGCTCCTGGCTTCGGATCGGCATAGTATCGACCCGTTGCGCTCACTTGGGGAGTGAGTCATCGGACGGAAGATCTTCCTCTCTGTCTCTCCTCTCTGTATATCCGCCTTTCCAATAAAAAAAATAATAAAAATAAATCTTTAAAAAAAAGAAAAAAGTATGGGAATCACAATCAGTGGTTTAAGTAACATCTGTTGCCATAAGCTACAACCATCCTGCATGCTGAAGGGGAAATGAGCCGCTGGTGATTAGCAGACTTTTGTGTCCAGGGGCCAGAACGTTGAGATAATGTGGAAACAAAAATGCCGAGGAGCAAGTCTGTCGGCGCAGGGAGTGACAGTGGGGCGGGGTGGGGGTGTTTGGCCTTGTCCACAGGAGTTGTTGCAAATGGCAAACATGAGAAGCATCTGGCAGTCCTCTACCATAATAGGCTTCCTTTCTGTTCATTTGCAAAGAGAGCTGTATTTATTTGAAAGGCAGTTACAGAAGGAGAATTCAAGAGACAGAGTCAGATCTTCCAACTAAGATTGATTTTCCAAATAACTGTGAAGGCCAGGGCTAGGTCATGCCCAACCAGGAGGCAGGCACAGGCCTCCCACATAGGGGCAGTGATCAGCTGCTGCTTTCTAAGGAGCATTGGTAAGGAGCTGCATTAGGAGGGGAGAGCAGAGACTCCAACCAGTGCTCATATAGGCATGGCAGGTGGCAGCTTTACTCACTATGCTGCAGTGTGACCCGGGATATGGATTTTTAATTTTCTCATTCCTTGGGGCTGGGGTGGTAGTATTGGCAGCACCAGTCCACTGCCTTTGGGCTTGGCATCCCACATGCAGGCCGGTTTGTGTCTGGCTGCTCCACTTGACTTTCCTGGTTACGACCCGGGAAAGTAGCAGAGGATGGCTCAAGTGCATAGGCCCCAGCTTCCAAGTGGGAACCTGAAAAACAAAACAAAAAGCAACTCCTGGCTCGGGATGCACTCAGCTCCCGCCTTTGTGGCCATCTGGGGAGGAAACCAACGACATCTCCTCTTGTGACTCTCCTCTCTGTAACTCTGCCCTTCGAATAAGGATAAAATAAATCGTTACAAAATTTTCTTATTTCCTAATCATTCAAACACAGGAGTTGTATGCTGCTTAAACAAAGCGCCCTTTGCTTCCCTGTTTCTAAAATGATCAAGTGGTTGCCACAGAAACAAAGAACTGTGATGTAGACTTGAACTCTGGGCCGTCTTTTCCTGACAGTTTCTCAGGAGCCTGATTCCCTTGAGAAAGTGGCCCTTAGTCAAGGAGCTTCTCGGGCTCAAACCCATGGCTCCTGCAATTTCTGGAAGCTCTGGAGGGCACAGGATGAGGAGTGGAACCTAGGGCTCTTCCCTGCATTCTCCAGCCCTGCTTGGTCTTCTCCCGTGGGCCGAGCAGAATCGAGGTTGTACGTGACTAGAAAGCCGCTCTTATCGCTCTCTGGGCTGCCACAGCCCTCTCAGTCCCCGGGGCCCCCAACTCCTGGCCGCAGACCTTGCTCTGATGGGCGCCAGGGAACCTTATCTGTTGGGCACAGAGCTCGGCCGCTGCAGGCAGCGATAGCAGCCGGACTACATCTCCCAGCATGCTCCTCTGGCCGCGCGCCGCCCGTCTCGACTGTCGCTTTTCTAATCGGAAAGTTCCTTCTCCCGGCTCGGGAGCTCCAGGAGCCGACAGTGCGGCGTGAGCAGGGCTGTGGCGACATGTCCTTGCACCTGGGTCGGCTGAGCGCTGGCCCCTGCTGGCGCACGGCGTGGGGCGGCCGCGGGGAGCTGCGCGCCTGGTCACGGCGCTGCGCGGCCCGACCCATCGGCCGGTACCCTGGCACGGCTGGCACGGAGCAGAGCCGGGGGATGGGGCACGGCCCCACCGCTCGGGGCGGCCCTTGGCTGGGGACCGGACTGGCCACGGCTCTGGCAGGTTTGGCTGGGATGGCGGCTGCTGTCTTTGGGCACGTGCAGCGGGCCGAGATGGTTCCCAAGAGCTCCGGGTCGCGGAGCCTGCCTCCCGAGAAACCCGAGGAGGAAGACGACCTGGCCCGCCGCTGCAGTTGCTTCATGTCCATGCCTGTGACCGACCTGCAGGAGCTGCGACGGAGACCGAACGATATGAAGACCAAGATGGAGTTGCTAATCCTGGAGACCCAGGCTCAGGTGTGCCAGGCGCTGGCACAGGTAGATGGAGTTGCCAACTTCTCTGTGGACCGCTGGGAGAGGAAGGAAGGTGAGGAGGTCGGCCCCTAGCGGAGGAGGAATTAGGGGAAAAGCCGTGGGACTCCCGACAACCATCAGATTAGGGGTTGGGGGTTGGAGGGCCCCTTGGTTGTATGGAATGCCATGCGAGAAGACGGACCCTCAGAGGATGGTCAGCCTTGTGCATGCATTCAGGTGTGGACTCAATGCCAAGTTTGAATATGGAAGCTCAGCTCTTAGATGTGCGATCATGTTGTCTGTGTGATGGCTTGATCATGAACTTGGAGGATTCCCGACTTTTCCTACAACGCCGGCGCTGGCGGGTTTTGAGCCGTGATGCTTTATATCGATGCTAAGTGAAGCTGCATTTGGTTATCTCAGTGTTTAGCATTGTTATAATGTTTTCAAGGGAACACAGCCGAACCAGGACACAATCTCAAGTGCTGGACTGAGCTCTCTGATCCGTGCGGGTTCCTCATTTTGTGCCTGTTTGTCCATTAGTGAAATGAGCCGAAAACACTACAGTTAAGGGTAGTATGAGGATTAAGTGAAATAAGTATACGTGAACGTGCTTAGAAAATGATCTGAAGCACTTGGATAAATAGCATAAATAAACATGAGTAGCACTTGGATACATTGTCAGTCACTTGCTAGCTGTGTGATTCTGATGAGGCGTTTTGCCTCTAGACCTTGGTTTTCTTTTTTGGAATAGGCAAGGGTTGTACTAGATCCTCTAAAGTTCGTGGAGGGGCTGGTGTGGTGTGGTAGCAGGCTAGGTCATCACTTGCAAGCCCAGTGCCCGTTGGAGTCCTTGCTGCTCTGCTTCCCGTGCAGGTAGGAAGGCAGTAGGCTTTGGGTGCAGGTCACCAGTGTAGGACAGCTGGCTGGAGTGTCTGGCTTCAGCCTGGCCCGGTCTGGACCGTTTGGGGAGCAGAGCAACATATGGGAGGTCTCTCTTCCTCCCTCTTTCTCCCTCTGCCTGTCTCACCACCTCCCTCCCTCTCTGGTGTTCTGCTTTTTAAGTAAATTGATAAGCCTTTAAAAGTTCTAAGTAAAAGAAACCAAATAATGGAGCTTCGTGAAACAACGCTGTTGGGATTCAGTAAATCCGAGCGAGACTCCAAGGTGAGTGAGATGATTTTATTGTCTAGTCCAAGGGGCAACCTCTCCCCGAATGAAATAATCGTGAGGTTTTTATAGTAAGATAATCAAAAGCTACATGACTGTGAGCAAGTACATGATTGGGGCTAGCAGTGACACAAAACAGAAAGCATGCGACAGGAATTTACAACATCTGGGCTTGGGGGTCTGATTACATCACTTCAATGCAGACAGTAATAAAATAGCATTCCTCGAAGGTAGCTGTTTTCCTGCAAATCCAAAAACTCTCCAGGAAACAGGAGCTTTGCTCGTAACGGGATGCAGGTGTCTCTCCGGAGATTCCAGACTTCCAGGAGTACACTCACCTTTACAATGAACCCTTTCACAATGCCCTTGTGATGATGCTAGCAGAAGCTAATCATCTCCCAAATAATGTTTCACTTATTCAAAAGCTGCAAGTTGGAATATATTGGGGATTCTAATGTCCCAAGGAAAGGCAGACAACACAAACAAAAGCACCACTGAAACAATGGAGCTCTAAAAGTCAGTAGTTATAGAACATCTTTGCTAATATGCACCATTCCTGTATTGTAACATTAGCTTTCCCATGGGTCATAACCAGAGGATCCCATTCTCAACAGTTACCCTGGAAGGGAAAATCCTTCAATGATTTATGTTTGGATGATGGCTTTAACTCAATGATTTGAGGAGGCCCAGCAAGTATTTGCTCATTTTATTGTTACCATTAAGCTAGGCTCGTGAGAAGCTTTATTGTACACAAGGATTATAAATGCATTGATAATAGATTTAGGAAGAGCAGCACTCCTGATCGACCCACTTGCCTGCAGGGATTGTTTGCAGGTTTGGTCCACTTCTACATTCCCCTCCATTTTGTTCTTTATTATCAGGAGGCGGTGGCATCAGCTGTGTGCTTCAAGATGGGCGTGTTTTTGAAAAAGCTGGGGTGAGCATTTCTGTCGTCCATGGAAATCTTTCTGAGGAAGCAGCAAAACAAATGAGGAGCAGAGGAAAAACTCTGAAGACTAAAGATGGTAAATCAGGTCATCCCCACCGCCCTGAGTTGTCCCTGCTGACTTTTTAAGCGCAAGGCTCAGTTATAAAATAAACATATTGCTTCTGGGAAAAAATTTAAAAACCGTTTGAATGCTTATGCCAGATAATGATGTTCATATTTTGCAAAAATCTTGCAGACACAAGTTAAAAAGCAACTTTTGAAATTAAAACAATTCACAAGAGTTAATTTGTAGCCAGGCAGGTGATTGGCTATAACCCACATATTTTATTTTTCAGGCAAATTGCCATTTTGTGCAATGGGTGTGAGCTCTGTTATCCACCCGAAGAATCCTCATGCTCCCACTATCCACTTCAATTACAGATACTTTGAGATAGAAGAAGCTGATGGTAAGTATTCTCTGGGTAACAGTACCATGCAAAATGTACATTTTTTAATAAAAGTAGAAAGCGATATCATATTTAAAAGCGGGAAAGGACAGATGCAATCCTGTCTTGGCGTATCAGGAGCAGAGGAGGGCTTATTCCTTGGCAGATGCGATGGATCATACACTGGACTTGGAAAGTGAGAGGGATGTTGACTGGTCCTGACTTCTGTATATTTCTTTCCACACAGTGGCCAGTTTAGCAAGCCGGGACTTTTAACTGCACTCAGCGTTCTTGACAAATTCCTTACACATGGATAGAAACCTGAAATTGAAAGCTTGGCTTTGAGAAAATATTTTCCAAATGCCTTGCTCTGCTAGTTCCCAGTACCTAAGCAGTGAGTTTGAAACAGGGCTCCAGTTTTTGAGGATTGAGCCATTGTTGCACAGGGGTCAAAACAAAGTACAGCTGACCTTGCCTCATGGGCCTGAGTTTCAGCCTGGGTCTCATCAGAACCACAGTTTAGTAAAGTATGGAAGCTTGGGCACTAACACACTTGGATTTGTTGTTGTTGTTTGTTTGTGACCTAGCAGGGTTATTTTAGGTCTCTCGTGTGATTTTAATACACATCCAGAGCTGAGATCCACTGCCTGGTCTACTGTCATGTTTTATCACTCACTGTTCTGCATGTCGCTTTGCAGGCCAGTCCTACTCACTTTTTAGCGTCCTACCTCCTTTTTGCAACTTGTACCTGTTCTTTCCTGGTTTTTGGAGTGAAGTTCAGCTAAAGGTTTCTTGCTTGTCACTGTTTTTTCTTTGATAAGCGAGGCCAGTGAATTCAGTTAGCTATCATCGGTGGTCCTTCAGAATCTCAAAGTCCACATCAGCACCCTGTGTCTTACTTGGATAGGTAACAAGCAGTGGTGGTTTGGTGGTGGATGCGACCTCACTCCGACGTACTTGAACCAAGAGGATGCCGTCCATTTTCACAGAACTCTAAAGGAGGCTTGTGATAAGCATGGACCACATCTTTACCCCAAATTTAAAAAATGGTAAGTGAGAGTACTGAACATGTCATCTCCTCAGCAGTGTATTCCATTTCCTTCGCTGAGTTCCGGAACGGCTTCTTCAGCCTGTGCACATGGCACTGTTACTGTGTTCATCAGAAAAATAGAATCTTAGGTAATTTTAGTAGGTTTTTTTTCTTTTTTTAAACCCAGGAATGTTCAGGTATCTATGACATGTTGGGTGGCAGCATGTTTTTCTGAGACCACATAATGTAGAACATAAACCATAACGGGATCCAGGTGTGAAAATCAGAAGCACTTTCATCCCAGAGCAGGCAGTTGAAGTCTCACCCCCTCAAGCATCACGATGCTGACATTGGCTTGGGAACGTGTGAGGGCATCGGAGGGTTGGGTCTGATCAGGGCGGCGTGGCTCTGGACGAGAGTGCAATTCCAGATTCTGTTCGTCAACCCCAACAAGCACATACAGCAAGATGTCAAGTGGAGTCAGCATAAATTGTTTAGAATAGGAGTAAAAACTTCAATTGTGCTTAAAGAAAAATGTCTTTTTTTCCCCCAAGATTTATTCACTTTTTAAAAGGCAGAGTGGTGAAGTGGGAGGCATCTGCGGTTTGCTAGTTCACTCTTCTAATAAATACAATGGCAAGAACTCAGCCAGTCTGAAGCCAAGAGCCAGGAGTTGCATCATGGTCTCTCTGCTGTGGGTCAAGGGTCGACGCCTTCAGGCCATCTGCTGCTGCTTTTCCAGGCACACTGGTAGGGAACTGGATTGGAGCTAGCTCTACACTGTGGCGTACTGCAATGTAAGCCCTAACTTTAACTGCTGTGCCACGGTGCAGTCCCTCAATTTGACATTCCTGAGAGATAGAATTAAAAGATTTCTGTCATTTTTCTTTGTTTCTAGAGTTAATAATTATGGAATGTTAACATTTATATAAGAACACGGAGTTCAGCCTTAAAATCCTGAACTTATAAAGAACTCATGTTATGGCACAGCAACTTAAGCTGCTGCCTGCAGGGTCAGCATCCTGTATGAGCTCTGATTCTTATCCAGGTCTGATCTAACTTCCTTCTAATGTGCCTGGAACAAACAGTGGAAGATGGCTGAAGTCCTTGGGTCTCTGCCACCTGTCCATGAGGCTTTCATGGAATTCCAGGCCCTACAGCTTTGCCTTGGCCCAGCTCTGGTTGTTGTGGCCATTTGGAGAGTGAACCAGCAGATGAAAGATCTCTCTGCAAGTCTTTCAGACAAATAAAAATGAAACAAATGTTTAAAATATTTTCCAGGATAGATAAAACATTTGAACATTCTCCCAGGTTTTTTTTTTTTTAAATGATGTATTTGTTTTTATTTGAGAGGAAGATGTATAAAGGAGAGGCTGAGAGAGGATGGGAAGGAGAGAGCTCTTCCATTGTTCGAAGCACTCCCCAGATGGCCACAGCGGCCGGAGCTGAGCTGATCCTGGGTCAGGAGAGAATGGAATGACTCGGGAGCTTTTTCTTCCACAACCCTTTCTGCAGTCAGTGTGCCTTAGCAAGAACCTTACTGCCGAACGGAACCTTACAGATTGTTAATAGTTCCCTTCTGTGGCAAATACAGAGCTCACTGGAGAGACAGTGTTTTAACAGAAGGTTCCTGTCCTCCTCCCTCTTCTAAAGCAGCTGTGCTCCTCAGGGTAGCAACATCACTTGTTTCAAAAATGCAATATGTGAACTGGTGCTGTGGTATAGTGGATTAAGCTTCTGCCTGCAGCACCAGCATCTTGTAGGAGCACAAGTTCAAGTCCCCACTGTTCCACTTCCAATCCAGCTCCTTGCTTCTGGCCTGGAAAAGCAGTGGAAGCTGTCTTGAGTCCTTGGGCCACTGCACCCATGTAAGAGCCAGGGCAGAAGCTCCTGGCTCCTGGCTGACGACAGCCTGCCACCTTTATGTTTCTCTCTGTAACTCTTACAAATAAAAATAAGCCTTTAATGCTGGACTATTTCTTTTTACATGAAACTCCTTATATCCTGTGGTAGCCTTGTGGAAAGTGACCCGGTTGCTTGTCAGATAAAAGCCTAAGTGTTTTCTTCAGTGAATATTAACTGCGAAAAAAATCTGTCTGAGGTCCCAGTTTCGCCTTCATAGCTAGTCACAAAGACCTCCAAATTATTAGCGACGAACAGTGTCATGGACTGCCAGACTTCCTGATTTTCATGTTCTCCCCTCCTCCCCGCCCTCTGGTTCCCACTGGACCCATGTGCCAGGTGTGACGATTACTTCTTCATAGTCCACCGTGGAGAGCGGAGGGGCATCGGCGGCATCTTTTTTGATGACCTGGACTCTCCGTCCAAGGAGGAGGTGTTTCGCTTTGTGCAGAGCTGTGCCCAGGCGGTCGTGCCGTCTTACATCCCGCTGGTGAAGAAGCACTGCGATGAGTCGTTCACAGCCCAGGAGAAGCTGTGGCAGCAGCTCAGGAGAGGACGGTGAGTGACCACAGCCGGCAGCCAGGGCCGCAGCTGGAGGAAGGGGGCGGCTGCCACGGTGATCCGTGCTGTGTCGTCCGTGGTAGTTGTGCTATTACCACATTGGTTTCTTTTCAGCGCTAAAGAAAAAGTAATGAGTGGAAAGCATTGTTTAAAATAGTATTCAAAAAATAGCGAGCTCCGTGTCATGGTGTTAGGGTCTCACAGTAGGTCGGTGGGAAATCCTTGCCACATTTAGTTGACCTGATTTCTTTCAGGCTTCCCTGGTGCTTTCTATGTTTATACCAAAGTAGCGGCATCAGTTAGAGGTTGTGCTGTTTTCTATATTTCGAGCCTTACCCATTTTTCTACTCATCTTAAAGATTCACGGAAGTTACTTTAGTGGAAGTGGCAGTTTCAGAAATTATTCATGTTTAATGGAGAATCTTACAAATTGTGAAGCTCTTTATGTAACCATTGAGATAGGCATTTCACATCTGATTTTCTCAACAAAACTGTGAGATAGGTATAACCATTATTTTACAGATGCAACAACGTGTTCTCAGAAACCTGAGTCCCTTGTGTAAGACAGGCAGCTATCCTGGGTTAGAAGTAGGCTTCCTGACTTTAAAACTTGCAGTGTTTCCAACATGGAAAGGAAGTGAAGCAGTTAGAGCAGGTTCATGTGTCTCCCTGGGCTCCTCACTTCAGCCGCTCTGTGCACTGGACTTCCCAGCTCCGTAGGGTGGCCAGCCTGAAGTCGCCTTCAGCCGCTGTGTACGTGGGCATCACCTCAAATTGTCCATCCGCCAGCCCGTGTCAGTTTCTCACTGTCACTTAGTTCCTGTGTACTACAGTTCCATGGTTATAAAGTGGATTTTCTCCCATTTATGTTGATTGTCCGGCATAACAATTCTGGACAATTAACACTAAATTCAGGAATCTGTGGTTCCTATTTACATTTTGGCAAGTTTTTTTTTTTTTTTTGATAAGTTTTCATACCCATTCAATGCTTTAAGTATTGAGGAAGTGTAAGGTTCCAGGATATTTTGCAATAGTTGGGCTTTAAGACAGTATCAGTAGAATGATAATAATTGAGATTTAAAAAGTACTTATGAATTATAGAGTGATTTGTATGGGGAAATTTTTATTAGCATTTTCAGGTTTCTGAGTCTGACTTGTGCAGCATAAATTTTCATTTGTACTTGAGGAGAGATCCTTTTCTATCCCAGCATGTTAGACAGGCCCGGGGTCCGGCAGGATGGCCTAGCGGCTAAAGTCCTCACTTTGAACTCACCAAGATCCCATATGGGCACTGGTTCTAATCCCAGCAGCCCCGCTTCCCATCCAGCTCCCTGCTTGTGGCCTGGGAAAACAGTAGAGGACGGCCCAAAGCCTTGGGACCCTGCACCCGTGTGGGAGACCCAGAACAGAGTAGGGCTCCTGGCTTCAGATCATCGCAGCACTGGCCGTTGCAGCCACTCACGGAGTGAACCATTGGACGGAAGATCTTCCTCTCTGTCTCTCTTCCTCTCTGTATATCTGACTTTCCAATAAAAATAAATAAACCTTAAAAAAAAAAAAGACACAGATTTCTATGCTGGATGGGATCCGGATCTGACCCTGGCAGCTGGGGATGTCAGTCCTTGGGTAACAGATTGCTGCTAGCTCTGTTTGACTCTTGAGTTGGAAAAGTTTATACCGCATTGGGTGAGAGCTACAGATAGTGCATGGAATCCACTCTGAACCATCAGAGATGAGGGAGAGCTACAGACAGTGCATGGAATCCATTCTGAACCATCACAGATGGGGGAGAGCTGCAGACAGTGCATGGAATCCACTCTGAACCATCAGAGATGGGGAGAACTACAGACAGTGCATGGAATCCACTGTGAACCATCAGAGATGGGAGAGAGCTACAGACAGTGCATGGAGTCCACTCTGAACCATCACAGACAGTGCATGGAATCCACTCTGAACCATCAGAGATGGGGGAGCGCCTGAGAGAGGGGCACTGTCCTTCCTTGTTGCTGTGCCTTCAGCTCTCAGCTTTGTGACCATGTTGCTTGTTTGTGGGAAGAACATAACCTTGTTCTTTTAGAGTCTGTCCCAACACAGAGGACTTCTATCTCCCATTGTTTAGTGAGTAGAATAACCTTTTATTTGTGTCTTTCTAGATGGAGACAGCTCAGTGGGCTGTGAGCTGGCGTTTTCTGTGCCAGTTCCAACTGGGGAGTGGGGAATGGCAGGAGAAGGCCCCTGTTACATATTCATGGGTTCATCTCAAACAGTTTAACGTTGTTGCTGTGTTTATGTCAGGTATGTCGAGTTTAACCTGCTGTATGATCGGGGCACAAAGTTTGGCCTCTTCACTCCAGGCTCCAGGATTGAAAGCATCTTGATGTCGCTACCCCTCACTGCCCGGTAAGGACATGGCTTATCCTAGAGAACCCACCCCAATCCCTCAGCTCTCAAGGGGGATGAAAGTTAACCCTGAAAATGTCTCCACTGAGGCTTAGTTGGTTGCAACTTTGCTGATTTTACAAGAAAATCACAGTCAGGTACTTACAGCCACACAGATTGGAGTCGTCAAAGGGTGCTAGGCTGGTGTAGGCCATAACTGTAAGAACAGGCATTGGAGAGGAGCAGGGATGGAGGCTGCATCATGGGGATGCACCTCCCCTACCTGATTCTCTGCTTGGGAGAGTGAGGTATAAGCGTTAAAGCTACCAAAGTCCACCTGTGTGTCTCCTGAATCCTGTCCCTCAGGGGACCCTGGTTGATATTGCAAGTGTATTTTGACTCTAGGATGTTAATATCAGCCAAAATATGTGCCAGGATTGTTAAATGACTTTATTTACTAAGCAGTACATGCTTTTACAAAGTCTAACTGATGTTAGGCACATTAGGTACAGTCAAGACAAAGAGATGTAAGACTTTTTCTTTTTTTTTTTTTTTAAATTAGGATGTTATTTATCTGTTTTACTTATTTGAAGAATTATTATTTTGCTTCTGTTTTGGACATGCATAGATGGGAGTACATGCATTCGCCCTCTGAGAATTCCAAAGAAGCGGAAATCCTGGAAGTCCTGCGCCATCCAAGGGACTGGGTGCACTGATGCGGGCGGCGCGGCGGACAGGCCCGGAACAGCTGCGTGTCTCTGCGCCGCTCTGGCCTGCACTGTTGCCACCGTGTGGCACTTGGTAGGTGCTAGAATATGCTGTGTACTGTCAGTGATGGGTGGCTAGGTGGCAGGTTGTCAGATGGGTGATTACTTAAAAACTTATTGTAATTTTAGAATCATTTTATGTGACTGGTTTACAGAATTTGACATGGAGTTTTCAGAGTCAAGTGAAAAGAACATAAATATTATATATGCCAGGAAGCTGCTCCTCTGATGTTTCTTATATATTTTTTTAAAGTTTCCGTTTCTGCCACAAAAGTCACTGATGTTGGATGCATCTTATTTTCATTAATTTTGTGAAGTTGAGCCTTTTAAGTAATTTTAGGAACATAAGTTGAAGGTGAAAGTTTTACTTGGTCATGACAGAAGTCTCTTTGATATAATCTTTATGTATTTTTCACCAGAATCCATAGTAAAATAAATATTCATTTTTATAATGATTGATATTTAGCATACTTGAAATTTTCTTAATCTCTGCATATGTCACACTTGAGTGACCTATAGTTCTGACTATAAAGTGACATTAGTGTTCTTTAAACAAGGGATGTCTGAGTTGTAATTTTGATTTTTATGGAACCATAATTTATTAATGTTTGGATCTCTGCTCTTTCAAAAATAAAAGCTTATATCCCTGGATCCTCATACTTAGACATGCTATTTCAGATATTTCAACGTGAAAGTTTAGACTAACAACAGTCCTAGACTATTATGGTTGTATGCAATGTTTCCCATTTGGAAAGTGAAATGGGTTATATTTTCTTTCTGTAATTAAAGCAGATGTAACTAATATAAGAAACACATAGGCATTTTATGCAAATATTTCTTTGTACAACTAATTAAGATCATCGTCCTTTTCAAATGAGATATTCACAACTTTATTCATAAGAGGGAATCACAGCAAAATTCTTAATGTGCAACTTCTTGTTTGTGATATGGTATTATTTGTGTCAATGTATTGAAGATTATAATAGTTTTTACACATATTAATAAACAATGTCCTGGAATACATTGATTATATGTGATTGTGACTTTTAGGGGTAGGAAATGTGTACATTTTTCCAACTATTTTACAATAGATTTAATAAACTTTATTATGAAAGAAAATAAGAAATTTTTGTATTCTTCAGTATGCCATAATAATTGCTATAGAAAACCACAAATATTTTCTAGTATAAAAGGCATATATGGGGCCCGGCGAGATAGCCTAGTGGCTGAAGTCCTTACCTTGAACACATCAGGATCCCATATGGCCACTGGTTCTAATCCTGGCAGTTCTGCTTCCCATCCAGCTCCCTGCTTGTGGCCTGGGAAAACAGTAGAGGACGGCCCAAAGCCTTGGGACCCTGCACCCATGTGGGAGACCCAGAAGAGCTCCTGGCTCCTGGCTTCAGATCGGCTCAGCTCCAGCTGCTGCAGTCTCTTGGGGAGTGAACCATTGATGGAAGATCTTCCTCTCTGTCTCTCCTTTTCTCTGTATATCTGACTTTAAGAAAAAAAAAGGCATAGTTGCTCATTACTAAATATTTTACCCCAGAGAAATGTATTCGTGGAAAAGCTTTGTTTATTTTTTAAAGCTTTCTCCATTTGAAAGATAGAGTGACAGTGAGGGATAAGTAGGGAGAGAGAGATCTTACGTGTGCTAGTTCACTTCCAAAATTGCCGCAACAGCTGGAACTGGAGCAAGCACGAGCCAGTGTCCAAGAACTCCATCCATGTGTCTCATGTGGATAACGGGGACCCAGGCTCGTGAGCCCCGTTATCTACGGCTTCCCAGATGCATTATCCCAAAGCTGCAGTGGAAACCTGGAGTAGCCAAGCCTTGAACCAGCGCCCTGAGATGGGATGAGGAGAAGTGGCAGCTTAGGCTGCTGTAGCACAATGCTTGCCCTAGCTTGATTCTTGGGTAATATAATTACCAAACAACCCTGGTGATCATCAACAGGTCAATGTGATACATACACATAGGAAAATGCTGCTCAGGGGGCACGGCACAGTGGCCTAGTGGCTAATGTCCTTGCTTTGCATGCTCCAGGATCCCGTATGGGCACCAGTTCTAATCCTGGCAGCCCTGTGTCCTATCCAGCTCCCTGCTTGTGGCCTGGGAAAGCAGTTGAGGATGGCCCGAAGCCTTGCATTCGCATGGGAGTTCTGAATAAAGCTCCAGGCTCCTGGCTTCAGATCGGTGCAGCGCCGGCCATTGTGGTCACTTGGAGTTGCTGTCTCTCTTCCTCTGTATATCTGACTTTGCAATAAAAATAAATAAATCTTAAATTCTACTCAGTAATGAAAAGGAGTAAGTACTAATCAATGCAAAAACATGGGTGAACATCAAAAACATAATGCCAAAGGAAAAACTTACTGTTGATAACATTGTGTGGAAACCTAAACAAGTCAAAACGTAATGACAGTAAGCAGGCAAGGGCTGGGGAGTTGATTATGAAAGGAACAAGAAAGAATATTCTGAGGTGATAGAAATTCCTTTATCTTTTTGTTCTTAAAGATTATTTTTATTGAAAGGCAGATTTATAGAGAGAAAGATCCATCTGCTGATTCACTTCCCAGATGGACACAACAGGTGGAGTTGAACTGATCTGAAGCCAGGAGCTTCTTCCATGTCTCCCATGTGAGTGCAGGGTCCCAAGGCATTGGGCCGTCCTCTACTGCTTTCCCAGGCCACAAGCAGGGAGCTGGATGGGAAGTGGGGCAGCTGGGACAGAAACTAGCGTCCGTAGGAGATCCTGGCTCATGAGAGGATTTAGCCACTAGGCTATCACACCGGGCCTCGATTTATCTACCTTTATTGCAGTGATTACTGCATACATAAACATTTCTAAAAATTCATTACACTTGATATTTAAAATTACAAAACTTTATTGATGAATAATATTTCAGCGAAGCTGATGCTGGGCAAAACATAAGCATAGAGAAACAAATGTTCAAATAATTACTAAAGTACTAAAAACAAAAAAGCTGGTCATCTTTTGTATGGATCTGCTAGTCCATTTAGTTATATTTAAGAGTATTGGTGGCTGGATACTGGACTAAGGTAAAATTTCAACATTTTCTGTGCCATTTCATGACCTTAATTAATCATGCATTTAATGTGCATGAAGTTGTGTCTGGAAAAATAAATTGCACTATTGAAAAATCACTACTGGTTTTTAAGCTGAATTCTCTTTGAAATTCTTATTGACATCTATCCTTAGTCTACTAGACCAGGTATCTTCAAACGGGCTGAACAGCTAATTCCTGTGGTACTACACACGCCTGAGAGTGAGCAGAAGTATGGTTGGGTGGAAAGACGTAAATGTTCTGTAGCAAACTTCTCATTGTGCCTTTCTGACCACTCTTAAATCCACTGTCCTAATTAGTCCGATTTGTTTCTGTAACAAAACAGGTGAGTCCATGCTGCTTTTTTTTTTTTAAATCTATAAAGAAGTTTATTTTGAGTGCAGAAAGCCCTATCAGTTTGGCCCTTGTAAGCTGCATCACAATATGGTAGAGAAGCACGAAGGAACCTGGACACATACAGAACAGGCTGTGCGTATGGATGATGTGGCTTGGTAATAATGTGCTCTTTTTTGACAACTCACTCTGTATGTGCAGCGTTCATCGTTCATCACATGCAAAAGCAGTGACCACAATGTCCTAATTACTTCCCCCCAGGCTCCACCTCTTAAAGGTGTCACCACCTTATAGCTGCAGGTTGAAGAACTGGTTCCATCATATGAACCTTTGAGAAAGAGAGAGAGAAAGAACATTCAAGCCACAGCACCCACCTAGTCAGCTAGCATTTGACATGAATACCTCTTGTATTTGAAAGTCCAATAGTCTGTTCCTTTGGATATGATCTTGTCATGGGTTACAATTCATCAAGACGGGAATCATCTGCAGGTGTTTTACTTGCAAATTTGTGCTTTGCTTTGGGCAAGTCAAGCCCTATGGTCATCTAAGCTGAGACTGCAGTGCCTACGAGTGTGTTCAAACACATATTCTAGCCAGCAAGACAGAAACAGCCTGGTTCTCTTCTGACCTTTTCATGGGTTAAGTAGTAGCCTTGCCTTCACATTCCACTGGGTAGTTATTAAGGCCATTCCAGGTTCAAGGAGTAGCAAGTAATGTCTGAATTCTAAGCGGAAGGGATGTCTAGGAATTTGTGATCCTCTTCAATACCTCCACACTCAAAATCACAGAGTAGATCTGTCCCTTCAGTCCTGTCATATTTCCTTCCCACTACCGTTATTTGGTCTCACTTTCTCTCTAGCCTGAGTTTTTCAGTACCTCCCTTGGTTCTGACCATCCTGACCTCCATCCCCTCACTTCAGAAATAGTTCCCCCAAATCCCACTGTCATTATCCTGGTGACGCATTTAAAGGCATTTGAAGTCCTGTCACCTACAGAAAAGATTCTAATGTTGGTCTGACACTCAAAGCAATCTACCCTTTGACTCCTGTCTCTCTACTCCAATCTACATCTCTTCCATGTACTTCAGACTCAAATGCCCTCCACACACCATTTTTCCAAACATGCCCTGAATTCTATCCCTTTTGCCTTATGTTCAGGTGGCGGCCATCTCTGCTTGGACTCTCCTGTCCCCTTGCTCATCTTTCCATGCACAGTTCATAGCCTTTCCAAGAAGCCTTCCTTGTGTCAATCTTCTATCCCTTCAGCACCTTTTAAACTTGTTACCACAATCTACGTTCATACAGTTATCCAATGTACACTCTGCTTATCACAAAACATGTATGATGTCTTTTATAAATAAGTACTTCCTTATAGATTAGTGCACTTAAGTTGGTGAAGCTTTTCTGTCCACAAATGGCTTCCCCAAATTCTCTTGTGTCAATACCTGAAACCCCAAGAAATGGGTTGTGCAACATGTATCTTCACAGACCTGTTTGTATGGGTAGTTTTATTTGTATGCACTGGCATATACCAGCAGAGCAAGATGAGCTGCATTCCATCCTTCATTCAACATAGTCAGCTTCATCCAGAAGTTTAGTTCATTCAATCAGTACTTTAAAGAACCAGTCACCTATTAATTTCCTTTCACATTTCAAACTGGACATGAAATATGACATCAATTTAACTGATCAAAGTTTCAATCAGTTGACATATCAGGGTACTTTGAAAATTTCATGGAAAATAGCATTAAAATATAAATCATATTGTTACAAAATAGTTTGAGATCTATAGATTATGAAAGATTTCCAAAAAGTTTCTGGATGGTATATATATTATGGAAAAACAAAACTTTGTGGGGCCAACACAGCATTGTAACGGGCTAATCCTCATCCTGTGGAATCAGCATCCTGTACAAGTGCTAGTTCACATCCTGGCTGCTCTACTTCTGATCCAGCTCCCTCCTAATGCACCCAAGCAGCAGAAGGTGGCCCAAGTGCTTGGGCTCCTACATGCACATAGGAGACCTGGAAGAAACTCCTAGCTCCTCACTTCAGATGGGCTCAGTTCAGACCATTGCAGCTGTTTGGAGTATAAATTAACAGATGGAAGATATCTATTTCTCTTGCTGTAACTCTGCCTTCGAAATAAACAAATAAATCTTCAATAAAATAAAGTGAAAGTTAAGGAAATGCAAAGTAACCAGTTTAATATTGCTCATGTGCTCACGTAACAAAGTATCACATTGTACCCCACAGAAATGTATAATAAATAATTCAGTAGATATTCCAGGGAGCATTGTTATTAGTATATACCTTAACACAAATGAATGAATTAAATTCTGTTGACTTGTTATTCTTTAATGCTTTTGTTCTTTCTGCTCAATAGGAGGGCAGTGGTCAAAAATAATGTATTCCTAAATAACCAAACAAGGACCTGTTTCTCATCTGTATGTCCCCTTCCTATTCCTCTGCTCCACTTTTTGTAATGTCCAGTAACTAAAAAACAAAACAACAACAACAAAAAACTTTTCTCAGCTGTTGCCATGGTGTGTGGAACAGAGACAAGCAATCCCTGTGTGTTCCTAACCAAAGAAACTTTGAGCATAATAAAATGGCTGATATTATATGTCTTTAGATTTTGTTAAGCAGAAATAGATAACTGGAATGGGTTAGATGGTATTAACCAAAGCCAGAGAGC